ATAAAGTCTTCTAATATAATTTCTCACTATGTATAGTAAGGTCATATATGTGATGTGTGTGTGTGTGTGTGTGTTCCATTATATTTATCAGCATTCTTCGATGAATACAACTTTAAAAAGAACAGCATTTATACAAAATAGATGTCAACAATATATAACAATATAATAAGTCTTTTTCATCACTATTTAGCAATGTAACTTATCTTTGCTGAATAAAAGTATTAATTTATTTAAAAAAAATAAAATAAAATGTACTGACCCCAAACGTTTAGCGTATATTGTTACAAAAGATTTCCATTTTGAATAAATGCTTTTACATACAGTATATGGATATAGTTTTCATATGAGATTGCATGCCACATTGCAGTTTGTCAAGTCATGCAGCCCTATATATAATTAATTTTAAAATGAAAACAATCAAAACAAAACTAAACTAAAAAAATTACACATTTTATTTTTAATATTCAATGTTATTCTATTCTGATGGACAGCATCAAGCCTTTAAATAATCTTAATTAAAATAATACACTGAAGTGCAAACTGAATGTAATGTTTTCAGACAATTGCATTTTATTTACAGTTTAAAGAACATTTATTATAGTTTACATTTATATTAAAATGTAATTTGTGATTTTTTGACACACTCAAGTAGGACTTCAGTGCATCTTTGTATGTAATTTCATAATTACTTCTGTTGTCTTTGAAATATGGTTAAAGTTACTGCTGAATGTGCTGACAAGCATATACTTTAATGTCATTTCTATTCACTGTTAACAAATTATCACAACTTAAAGTTCAATAATAGAATTAGTAATGTGGTATTTCAACTTAAAAGTAAGCATTCATGCTTGACTTAAAATTGAGTTCATTTAACTTTAGTTTTGTTTACTTGAGTTAGATATTTAAGTTATCTCAACAAATTGTAAGTTGTTATAACTAATTGCAGCAGCATTTTTACTGATTGCGATTTTAGATTGGCTGTACAAGTAATTTCAACTTAAACTGACTTAAATTAAACTGACTTTAAATAAAATGAAGTTGAATCTTGTAACCCTAAAAAAATGTCTACAAAAACTTAATTTGATGAATTATAATGGAAAAGCATGTTGACTTTTATCATTTTTATAATTTACAAGTACATCACATGTGCTTTATGAGGTTAATGAACATATCAAAATAAGTGTACTCCTTTAAAACACAAGAAAAGATTATTAAAACATAATTACTTAAAATGCACTTTAAAATAAAACTTTTAAATAAACATTTGTTACAAAGTCTAAGTGTGTTAAGACATAGTCATGAAAGTGTCTCTGTTTATGTTAATTTAAATAACTCACAACAATTTGTCTAAAATGTAACTCTGTCTTCTTGTTTATTGAATACAGGTGATGCATCTAAATGGCTCTGGTTGTGTCATCACTGAGACGAATGTAGAAACAGATTTCTTTCTCGGTGTGTATTAGAAAAGCTCTGACAGACGTACCCTGGATTCTCTGTATTTATTTCCCGCTGGACGTCCAGAGTCGACTTCTCTGTCCTCACCGGGTCTGAGCGGATCGTTCCATCAATCAGAGTCATATCTGAGAGGCTCTGACCCGAATCACTAGATCAGGTTTACACTTATGCACTACACAGCCCTTTATTACCCACAATGCATCTCTGGTTTCAGGAGAAATGGGCTGATATCCGGGATCAACAGCGAGGTGAAGGAACCGCAGGTAAATCGCAGAAGCACAGCTAAGTGCTCAGAAACGGCCTGTTGGATGTAGTGTGTGTGTGTGTGTGTGTGTGAGAGAGAGAGTGTGTGTGTGAGAGTGTGTGTGAGAGAGAGAGAGTGTGTGTGTGAGTGTGTGTGTGTGAGAGAGAGAGTGTGTGTGTGTGTGT